GGAATGACTAATCGTGATCAATTATTACTATTTAATAATATTATAAATTGAACACTTTTCAAAGTAATATAGATTACTTAATAACTTATGTATGGTTTTATAAAATATATAAGAATTTAGTTTTTGTATGTAAAAGGAATTTAAATTGAGTAATTTAGGTGACATTAAATTGTCATTCATAACTAAAGTTAACATTGGAGATGATTGTATTTTATTAATTAGTTGAACTTATATACATAAACGAGTATAGAAATATCAACTCAAAAAAATATTCTTTATTTTTTCAATTCTTAATTATCGAAACCAATCCACATCCCAAAATAAATTTTAAAAGTACAATTAATTGAATTTAAATCCAAATATATAAACGAATATTTAAATATAAACTTAAAAAATGAATTTTATGTAATTTTTTAATTCTTTATTATGATTGAAATACCAATGCAGAAGTTTTTAACATTAGTTAAAACTTCATTTGAAAACAAAAGAATATTGTAGTGATACATTATGAAACTAAAAGTGATTGACAAGTTAATGGATTATAATAATCAGTGAACAAATCATAGTCTTAACATAATTTTATGTTTTACAATGGGATTATCATTTCGCAGAAAATTGTTACTGGAAATTGCTATAAAACTCGTGGGTTGTGTGTAACATCTGTAATGATTTTGAGTATTATTATTATTTTAATTAATTCTCTACTTTCAAAGTAAGAGATAGAAATGATAATTCACTTTTTTTATTGGTAAAATATATACATATATAATGGAGTTTTCTAATCTTTTTTACAAAGATTATATATATATATATATATATATATATATATAAAGTTCTTCTGCTATATACTAATCCTTTTATAAACACTCGAGCTAAACCGTCTCACTTAAATAAATAAAACGTTTTGTTTACTTATTGGAGCCTTTAATAAAATAGTTTCTCTTATACTTTTTTATAGACCAAAGTTCAAAAGAAAAACAAAATATTTTTCACAACTTAGGGTTACGAGAAAATGAAATTGGTTGAGTTTAGTCAATTGTGGGAAAGTGTATTATTTTAGAAGTCTTGTAGTTTACAATCACAATCTCTATGTTTTTTTAGTCAATAATAAATAATATATCATGCATAATAGTTAGGGTGTTTGATCTTTTTTAAAAAGTAGAAATCAAAGTTTACAAATTAAGTATAAAAAATATAATAATTTACTCAAATAAAGTAATCCACTCATCAAATCCTAATATCATGCATAAATCTTATAATCTTTAATTAATGAAAATTTAAAATTTTCATCATGTAATAGGCCTTGTTAAGTAGACTTTCTAAATTTTGGTTAACTATAAAAAGAATATTAAATTCTATAATTATGTTCATATGATTCAAATGACATTAGTAAGGAATAAAGAGATATAATCTCGAGAAGAAAAATCTTACTATCTACCATAAATTGTACACTGACTAATTTGTTTAATATGAGCATCAAAACCGGAAGAAAAACTCCTGTATGATCATGATAAAAAAATAACATCAATTAATTAAACACTAGAAATATTAATTTTGATTAATATTAATATGAAAAAAAGGTGTAATAATGATGCGATAGTAATTAAAAAACTCCCACACAGTCGATTTTATGATAGATATAGAATCTTTTGAGTGTGGTTGTGGAAGATTATGATGGCTCCAAGCATCTAATTATTATGTTAGGCTATATCTATTAAGCTATTAATAGAAGATATAGGTTCTGATCCTACCCAAAAGCAAAACGAATCCCTCATATCAGAAAATCCTCCAAAGCAAATCGATCAAACTCAAACTTAATTAATTACGCTAATACTTTACCAAATTACTTTATAACTTTGAATAATTAAACTAATACGAAGATGTTTGGAAGTGGAAAACAAACGGGTAACAAAGTGAAGCTTTAGGAGGATTTGCGGAAAGCGACAAAGAAGTTACGATTTGGTCATGATTACATTGTATGATGATTTAATTAATGAAAAATGTTAGATTAATTATTGTCGTAAAACGTATTGTTAACAGACATAATTTGATAGTATAACCGTGTGTGAATGTTGGAAATTCGTGTCCTAGATTTTGCACAACAACAATTAAAGCATTGATTCTCTATAGGCAGCAAGAAAAGTCAACAAAATGATGAGGCTACTAACTTTTTGTGTCTCCTTGTTGCCTGTAAGCTGGAATGAAGTGTTGCATGGCCTCTTTTGTTCACAATTACCCATTTCTTTAATTAATTAATTAGTTAATTAAGGTCCCAAATGTGGCCGCAAAGCACGTTGTTAATTAACACAAAAGTAAAGGGAAAAAAAGTTAAACTTTATGGGGCGAAGAACAACGAAGTGACTTTATTATGGAATCTTTTAGTTAATTAAGAATAAACGATAGCAACAAATTCAATGGTGTTATTGATGGATAACACGAACGAACGACAAGTAGATGAGGTTTTGCTTTAATTTAAATGAACACTAATTATTTGATTAGAAGAAGAACTTTGCTTAATACTTTGTCACAACAAAGTCACTCACTCGTGGGTCTGTCTCATACCCCAAAAGCAAAAAGTTATTCCTATTCGATCCAACAATGCTTTTTTGTTTTTGTTTTTAATTCTTAAATATTCCAACACATTTAAGATATTCCAATTTGTCATGTGAAATGTTAGTTTTTAATTGGCGGCATTTACGTTGTACTAATTATACCAAACATGTTGTGAACCCCTTTTTCGGAAAAAGCAAAATACAAAGTAGAATAAATCTATTAGAGCGCACTACGAGGAATAAATCCCTCAAATGTAAAGGTGTTAGGTTTTGAATCTAGGGCATTTTATCCTCCCAAACTTTAATAATAATACCTCTACGAATCATAGCTTTAATACCTACAAAAACATTTCTATCAAATATTTAACAAATCAATTTCTTTAATAATCTATCTCTTTGCAGTTTTCCACAATTTCTAATAAAAATATTCCTTTTATTTCTTTAATAACTGGCTTTAGGACATCCAACATGCATTAGCAAAAGTCGACGTTCTTATAATTACTATATTTGCATTTGCTATATAATTATTTTTCGAAATTTGTATGCTTGAACGTTTTTTTCTTCCTATATATATATATTTCACTTTTATGTGTTTTAGGCACTGAAATTTGATCCCTTGCATCATTGGCTATTCCAAAATCGTTTTGGATTTGGTTTTCCATTTTAGATGGAATATATTGTTTTTAACGTTTATATTTAATTTAACATCATAAAACTGGTTTATAAAATACAGATTACATTTTATTTATATGTTAAAATTCGAACCTTTTTTTATATCAACATTGGATTTGTAACATATAAATTACAAACGAAAAATTATTAAAAGCTAACATAAAGAAAGCTAAACAATATCGGGTGTTTATGCAAAAAAAGTAAGAATAATATATAAAAAAAATGTTAGTTGATATTTATGTGTCATGACAAGTATTTTTCTTAATTATTAAAATTTGAAAAACAAAACATTTTTCATTAAACATATCTGTGGCACTTTAGATAATTTCATTTTTATAATTATTTTCGTTGTTGCTGTATTCCTTCATTATATCGAAGACACATTTCTGGATTTTTGTATTCTTGCTGTCTAGTTGCAATTGACTTGATTATTTTATTTCTTATGAGGAAATTAATTAGAATCCAATCAAAACTTTAAATTAAAATAATCATCACTGCCACTTGTGTTTCCTCTCATTGATATATATTCTTCGCAAAATCGAGATACGTAGATTGCATTCCTTGGTTACTGCAAATGATTCATTCCTATTTTTATTTATTTTCTATGAACTATGTCATTTTCCCATAATAGAAGATTTATCCCTTCTAGAGATAAAAAAAATCTTTATTGTGCTTAAACCGTTTTCATTAAAGTTTTTTTACATATGTATTTAGGGATTAGTTTTCTTATAAATTCCTGGTGGATGTTTTAAAGTGATAGGTGGAGAAACTTTAACATCAATATTAGTCATGAATAGTTTTATATCAAAGATTAAAATATTATTTTCAATCTAAAATACTTAAGTATACGTATTATGTATTTTTTTTTACCTATGTATTGTTTATCTTTCTCATTTTAAGTTCATATATAGAACTTTCAATTAACTTTGTTAAATTTTTAAAAATTACAACTGTATCAAACTTGAAGTAAACTACACTTTCGATAAATGCACTTCATGGATTATATACAACAGCATTTGTTTATTGGATGATTCTTTAGATTAATTAAGGAGCAATGAGTTGTATTCTCTTGTAAAGGAGCATAATCTTTTTAATGATATATAATTAAGAGGAAGGATCTCGCAATGGAGATTAATTATAGTATTTGAAGGCATTTGGCGTTATCACATCTATCTAGCAACCTACGATGATTTATTATTATGCCATACAGCTAGGACTCTCAATTTAGACACAATAATGATGTTCCTCCTTAACCTAGGATCTCAATTATTGCTAGGGTGCCCATGTTCAAAATTAGGAAGGCAAAACCAAAACCATAACAATAATAATGCCACCAAACACACTCATTGCACACATTAATTAACAAATCATGTAGGATTAGAACAACGTGATCAAAACGAACCCTCCACATATTAAGTTGCAAACTACTCTTAATAAAGTGGTATTTGAGACACAGAAGATGAAAATTATAAACTTTTTATCGGATGAAAAAGTAAGTTGTGTGGTGATGATGATAGAGAAATGAAAAAGAGTGAGGGAAAGAAAGGTACAGCTAGCTGTGTGCATCTTTCACACATGATTTTGTCAACCTAACGTATCTAAAGTATGTGTAACCTGATCTACATATATGCCAAAGGCATGCAGCTTTTAACCCCACCCTCTTAACAAAAACAAGTACAAACCCTATCATCTAAACTATGGGTCCTATGTGTACACTTAGGTAGTCCCACCATATGTGTAACCTCTTTTTTTTCTTCTTTTTATTTGGGGCAAAAATATTATAAAAAAGCTAGTTTAATTGTTAAAGATTCTTTGTCCAGGTGATAGAATCATTCTAGGATCAAACTGCTGTTTTCTTTCTACAAAAGTCCTCCATTTAGGGCCAAAATGCTTTGTCCAATCTTCTTGTGTGCGGTAGTGGGGAAGATATTGCTTAATATTGATCCCAGCATCATTACAAAACTGCAGAATTTCTTTATTTTGAGTATCATAGTCCTTCCAATTATCAAACCCACTTGAATGCAAAAACCCAACTGTGTAGAAGATTTCCTCGTCTGGTATTGATGCTGACATCCTATTGTCCCACCTGTATTTTTTTTTTTTTACAAAATTTCGAGTCAGAAAAGAGAAGAAATGTAACATAAATCGAGATTAATTAAGTAGTTCAGCTCAATTACTTGTTTCTGTTCATGGGGTAAACCAAGACAGGTCCTGTGGTGATGTTTCGTTTAAGGATGATGTTCTTGAACACGCCTGAGTCAAAATCCATGATTTGAGATTTTGGTATGAACAAATTGAGCCAAGGGTGAGGAACATCCCACAGTCCCTGTGACTGTAGCTTCAACTCTCCACCTCGGACTCTGTTCAAGAACTCAACGTATGAGACATCTTTTTCGTAGTAAAATCCAGGGATGTAGCTCAGTCCTTGGAGTAAAACTTGGAGTTCCTACACCAACACGAAAATAAGAATGTTACTTTGCAACATTAAAATTATAAGATGGAGTGTGACAAAGGGTTATTTATTAGACAGGACAAGAGAAACGAAAGGACACATCATGAAGGCAATTGCACATGAATGGAGACGTACCTTGTCCACGTTGTTTTCACTTTGGCCATCATAATATTTGGCAACTTCTAGGCAATAGAGGACGCTGTGTTGAGTTACTAGTGAAATTATTCGACCATGGTCGGCTAAAGGGAAGAAAGAAGATCTCCAATTATTTATGGGTCCTTGGTGCATCAGCAACGACCCTTCCACATAATCAACTGCAATATTTTGTTTCCTTCCAGTGATTGAGATTAATTGTTCTTGGTCTTTTGTAAAATCAGAAAACTCATTGTACAAAAGTCTAACCCATTTAACCTGCCAATAAAAAAAAAATTCACCCTTCATTAACTGATTATCGTACTGATGAAAAACAATTATGATCACATGATTATAGTTTATGCAGTGAGTCCCATCAAATAGTACTGCTGGAGTACTTATGTGAAATTCAATTCCATCATCTCACTCACCAACTTTGTTATCCTTTCTAGTGGAAACATATTAATGTATGGGCCTATCTTCTTGGTAGTATTTTCAAATACAGTTGTTATATCAGTTGATTTTTTATTAAGAAATTAGAGGTTGAATCGTTGACGAGAGAGGTTAATATAGGAGCCTAATTATTGGTCGGCTTATATGGTCTGAAAAGGGTCACTGTGTATTTCAAAAGACTTTGAGTTATGACATGTACATTTTTCCTACACGTATTTTGATGGCTTTTCAATTTCAAGAATCCACGTTCTTCACCTGTAGCTCGTCTGGTTTTCGTTTTCATGTGTGTCTCTCATGGATGACATAATGTGAAACTTGTGTGTGTGTATGGGGTACCAAGAAAAACGGTGACATAAAGCTTTTAGGACAAGGACATTCGATGCTTCCGTAAAGCTTGATGGTTGAATAATATAGCATGTAGAATTGGCGTCACTATGTGAAATGTTGGAAGAAGAAGCTACAAGACAAAGTCCTAGTCAATTCTGAAGATTTAAACGTACCCTCTTGGGAGCTGGAGCAAGAGCAATTCTTGCCCTTGTTATAATTCCAAATTGTCCTAAACCTCCAAGAACAGCGTGAAACAACTCCGAATTTGTCTGAGAAGAGCAGGTCACGGATTCTCCCTTTCCTAAACCAAATCAAAACTTCATTAAAACACAAACAATAATAATAATATATATGATTGCATGCATGCACATGTTCTTTTAACAAACATTTCAAAAAAAAATTCATCTGCCAGTTTATTTTCAATAAAACAATTGACGAAAGAACGACTTGGACCAGAAGTGTATGAACAAGTTATCTAAAACAAGAACATGTAGGAGGCCATCACTGACCGTGTGAACTGAATCCACGGTTAAGAAGTTTTCAAACACGGGACCAGGTTTGCTAAAACATTCACCAAAAATTGTAGACCAAGACTCGTTTCCGTTGTTAGATTAAAACAATATAATTCGAATAAAAAACAAAGAACAGGTCCGAAAAGCAAGCTTTTATAAATTTCAATCGCAATCACAGTCTGATGCATTACAGTACTTTTCAATTTTCTTTCCTTAAAATATGAACTGACGCCACTGTACCCGAAGTTGCAATGAAGTTCTGAAAACATTAACAACCACGGCACGTTGGTTACCTCAATTAGAGCTATGAATATTAAAAAAACCTTAATTTTTTTCAGGCAACTCATTGTAATCATTATTTTATCTCCTTTCCCCTCCAAAACTCCCTCTTTCTTTCCTTTCCAAGCTGTGACACTTTCCAAGGTGCCCAATGACCAATTCTCACAATATTAAAACACCGACTATTTAGATTCAGATGGTTGTTATAACATCTTTACAAATCTTAGAGCCCTGACACTCCCAATAAACAAAACTCAGACACATACTTCACTTTATGCAGTCATTTTCTTATCAGAGTTCAAGTTTTATCTTAGTTTTAGACAGAAGGTTCAGGTTATATAAACAAGAATATTTAGGTTTGTTGGAGTTATTATTGTTATTATATATGTTAGGTATAGTGAGTGAGTGGTGAGGAGAAAAGAAAGTGTGATACCAGTGATGACATCCATTTCACGAACAGTGGAGATTTGAGGACCAAAGCGGAAGGTTTGGCCACTGATGCCAGCATTGGAGAGAGTTCCTCCCACTGTCAAGTACAAGTAATCAGTCCAAGAGAGAGGTGCAAGTCCATGCTCGAGCGTGGCGTGAAGAACATCGATCCAAAGTTGTTCCCCTCCGACATCAGCGTAGTGAAAGTAACCAACCGAAGGGTCCACCGTGTTGCTCACCCTTATCCCCACCCCACTGCCCCTCTCTCTGAACCCTGCCATGTCCACCACCACGCCGCCACGTGCCATCGCCTGCCCCCGCGTGGAGTGCCCTTGTCCCCTCGCCGCCACCTTGAAGGGGACAGCCCCCCTGTACGACGCCTTGATCAGGCGTGCGATGTCCTGCGCCGACGCCGGGTGGAAGACCGCCAGTGGGACTTCCCGAGCTATGTTGCCGTAGTCCTTAGAAGCTCTTCCCTGAAGAGCTTCCGAGTCTCCTCGGAGCTTGTCAAAGACATCCTCGTCTACTTCGGCAAGCTCGGCAGGTAAAACAGCCTTCCATTGGGAGGTTTTTCCGACAGTGGAGATCAAACGCGTGATGGTTATGAGTAAGAGGATGAAGTATGTGGGGGAAGGGTGGTTCTCAGCTACCATTTTTGTGGTTTCGAGGGAAATAACGAGAATGGGAGAAGAAAGAAGAGAGAAGAAGAGAGAAAGAGAGAAAGAGAGAGTGGTTTTTTTGTTATAGTGTGGATGGAATTGTTTGGTTGTTGGTGTTTTGTGGTAGTGGGGAATGGAGGTGGAGGAGGTAGGGGCTATATATAGAATGGAAGAGTACTTTGCATGATAAAGGAGGATACGGGAAAATATTTAATTTCAGGAACACACGTATAGAGATAGAGAGAGAAAATTAGATGAAAGTACTTAAATTTCACAAATATTGTCAAAAAAATAAATATGAATGTTCTTAATTACTTCCACACATTTTTGGAATAAATTAAAAAAAAGAGGGGAGAGCAATTAAAATATGTTTGCTTGAGTGATACCCTCTTGTTATTTTTTACTGGGATAGAAAAATATTCAAAACAAATCATACATTGTAACACAAAAAATTTAAATTGGGTGCAAAGGGAGGGATCCTAAATGTCAAACTAAAAGATACGATGGAGAGATTGCATTTGGTTCTTCTTCTCAAAAGTCACCAAGTATTTTGTGTAAAGCAATTAAACTGAGCAGAAGCAATTAATGAAGTGTTAATTAGGCCTTCCAATTGTTGCTTCCTTTTCTGTGATTGCGTTTATCTCATCATCATAATCACCATCACCATCAAAAACAGAACCCACAAACTTAAGCTTCTTCTTCCATAGTTGGCCGTGGCCTAATAAAATAAATAAATAAATAACGCAGTTGAATTGGAGCCGTTGGATTCTTATCTCAGGGTCAAAGATTGGTCAAAATTAGTCAATTGAAATATACCCTTTATATTTTATATTACAAATTGAAGTTTTGAAATTTAAGAATTTAAAGAGAGAGTCAAAATGGGGTAATTATCAAAAGGATCTCTCAAGATTTTCTTTCCCGGGACCATGGACTTCTTCCCGCTGGATCAAACTATATATATTGCATTAAACTTTTGTAATTCATGGGAGCGTGATGTCAATGGAAACTGAGAGAGACATCACACCAGATTTTCTTGGTGCCAAGATTTTGTTGAAGAACATCATATCTATTCCAACATATGTTATCAAACGAAAACGAAAGCTAACCGTAACACAACAATGTGCCTCCTAAGCCATATGAATGTCTCTACACGACATGATTTTCTTCCCCCCAGTTTCAACATGTTCTTAGCCAAACACAATAAGGTGACAGATACCACCATGCCATTATTAAAATCTCTCGAGTTAGGGGATCAAATAATTAATTAGCAATGCTTACTGATTGAACTAATCCTAATTAATTACGTGGTGACTGAACATATAAAAAAAATGAAAGCACCTGGCATGCCTTTTATCAGAATATAGGAAGAAAACAATGGCATGCTATGCACACGCAAGAGAATCCAGTGAACTGTTTAATAATATAATTTCTTTTGGCTATGGCTAGCTTTCAGGGGAGTCTTTCCAGTTGCTAATATTTATATATATATACATGTCATAATTATTTGAACTGTATAAAATATATGTACTGAATTGTTGTTTTGGCAAATGGCCAAATTGCAAACAAATGTGAAATTGCAGGTCCAAGACAAGGACATCGAAAATTAATCAGAGTAAGAACAAAAGGGCATTCAAAGAACAATCTTTGACCAATAGATCTCGCTGGTAAGAGGAGCTATCATATTGCAAGACCCTCCACCAAGTATGTATGATTCTGAAGAACATATATATTCCACAATGCTTCATACCGAAGATTGTAATCTTTGACGATATAGATTTTCATTCAGGACGAATAAATGCAGAAAAGGAAATAAAAAGTGGTAAATTATAAATTGCTAGGGATGGTATGCAATTTATGTTGGAGATGCTGAAATGGAGGAGTTGATGAGCACATAATAATTATGTATACCTTGTCACATGTTGAAACAGCGATAGTTAGGTCTTGTACCTAACGAAACCAGTATCTTCTTATCTCTTCAAAAGGAGGTAAAAATAATGGCACCAAGAGAAGGGTTTATCTTTGTAAAGTAAATTTTGGTGCCCTCAAAATATATATATATATATATATATATATATATATATATATATAAATACCATATACCCTTATTGTGTAGGTCCACCTACGTGTCTTGGAAATGTTTGGTGAAATTGAAATTCAACTTGGGAATAGAATAGAGATGTAATATGTTGCCACCACCAGTGACTGAGGTTGAATATTCGACACTTTTTTCTTGTGTATTATCATAAGCGATACACTACACACATGCAGCCCAATATTCGGATCAATCCCTATCATGGCACTAGTATAAACCCATAACTATATTTATACTTTAGGGAAAAACTCTCAATTCCTGTTTCAAAAGTTTATATAAGAAGATAACAATTATTTTTCATTCACAGTAGTACAAAAAATCCCATAATTCATCTCTGAAAATCATTCTGCTTTTTTTTAGGGTTAAATATATTTTTAGTCCCTAAACTATTACGCGATTTTGGTTTTAGTCTCTCTTTTAAAATAAGATACTTTTTAGTCCTTCTCCTTTAGGAAAATATAATTTTTCGTCCCCAAAAACCAACGACGTTAAATAGAAGGTGAGCTGACTAACGGTGGAGTGTCACCCTGTAATCTTTGAAACTATCCCTCTCTCCACAACCATCACCACCTCCGCTTCTTTTCGTCCTCCGTCAGCAATGACGCCATCAGTTCTTTCCTCCCTCCCTCCGCCACCAAACCTCCTTTCTCTTCCTCCCACCGGAAAAAGTGTCACTATGCCAACGTCGCAACCCATTCTTCATGCACAACTCCAACCTCTTCCCTTCATCCACGCACAATTAGAAAAATCGAAGAGAGAGAGAGAGAGAAACGTTACCGTTTTCGCTCCAAATAGGAGACAATTTTTCAACGTAATTTGCTGCTTGCCACTCTCACTCACATCTCTTTCCTTCACTCTCTCACTCTCACTTGGTGCCGGAGCTCCATTTTCCGGCCCCCTCCTTGCCAGCGACGTATTTCCGCCACCAGATTCACCCACCATGGCTTAACAAACAAATTTCGAATCTTTCGAAAAAGCTAACTCGTTTTCATTCTCATTTTGATTATTCACACACTCTCTGAGAAACATGTATTGGGTGTTTAGTCAGCTTATTCCTTAGACAGTTGTATGCATAACAATAGCGCAGCTGTCCTAGTGTTTTGTTTCCCTGTATATAAACAGACACATGTACACTTACGAGAGACAATGTTTTTCAGTGCATTCAGTTTTACAATATTTTTTCTCTATTACAACGCTGCTTCCCCATGGAAGATGGGAAAGATTGCTGCGTCAAGCTCGCGGTCCATGCTCGGCCTCTCATCGTTGATGAGAAGCTTCAAGGATGCAAAGATTGGGTTACAGAGTTTGGAATTGGAATTACTTTTGAAAGTGATCTGACAAACTTACAAAGAAGGCTTTTATCCATTAACTGTTAAGATCATTCGGTCTTAACTATTAATGGCCGAACAGTAGCCGAACGCGGTAGCTGAACGGTGCCGAACGGTATTCACAGTTAGGAAGTCTTCATCCTCTTATAAACTCTTCACTCCCAAACATTACTCAAAGGCCGAGTGGTTCCGAATGTGAACGGAAGTTACATGCCACTACAATGGTCTCTTTTTGCATTTTACCTGTAGACAGGTTCTGGGAAAACGTACACCATGGGAACTAGCTTTAAAGATGGTTGCCAAACAAGAATAATGTTAGGATCTAGGATGATAGGATAGTTGGGGTTTAGGATAGAAGCCGAACGATAACGGGGCCAACCGAACGGTATCAAGGGAGGGGCCGAGTGGTAGCGGGAACATGGTGCACGACCGAACGGTTAAGGCTGTAGAGGGTTTCTGTTGTAAGGGTGCACGACCGAACGATTAAGGTTGTAGAGGGTTATTCCCAACCCATTCGTTGTAAAAGGGATTTCTTTCACTGTGAATAATAGAAAAAATCTCATTCTTCCATTACTGTTTCTATCTACTGAATGTGTGCTTAGTTAGGTTTCAATCACAGGAACCTAACAAATAATACCTTAAGTTATGAACGTTTTGTTTAGCAAAATTGGGACCTTAAAGCACCAGTTGATTTTTAGTTGCATGTGTCTTTTATTTTGAAAACCCTCAAATTGTGAAACTCCCTTTCGCGCAGCCATGGGAACCTGCAAAAAACCAGAAAAAGCATCCCTAATAATCATCCCTTTTGCGACGTCGGCGTAGTGACACTTTTTTCGGTGGGAGGAAGAGAAAGGATGTTTGGTGGCGGAGGGAGGGAGAAAAGAACTGATGGTGTCGTTGCTGACGAAGGATGAAAAGAAGCGAAGGTAGTGATGGTTGTGGAGAGAGTGAAAGTTTCAAAGATTACAGCGTGACACTCCACCGTTAGCCAGCTCACCTTCTATTTAACGTCGTTGGTTTTCTAGGACGAAAATTATATTTTCTTAAAGGAGAAGGACCGAAAAGTACCTTAGTTTGAAAGAGGGACTGAAACCAAAATCGCGTGATAGTTTAGAGACTAAAAACATATTTAACCCTTTTTGTATATTACAGGACAAAAGATCAAAATAGTTCTTCCAAAAGACTATATAAGTAACTCATACTTGAACAATTTTTAAATTTTTAATTATTTAATGAATTTGGGTTATTTTAATTGAACTTTTATTGAAAAGTTGCTTTATTAAGTGTTTAAAATGTATTTCTTTTTAAATTTATCTAAGAAATTTATCGTTTTCTTTTTTCCTTTAATTTATTTCAACTAGCTCTTTGAAAAATAAGTGGAAGTCGACTATAAATTGTAGACAAAAAGATAAAAATATCAGTTGTATTCCCTCGTTAACAACAAAAATACTCAGATACAAATAAAAATGTTTTGAATACTTAATAAATTATGTTATTCAATAAAGACTGAATTAAAACTATTTAAATTTATAGTTTTACTAAATTAATTTTAAAATTAAAGTGGGAATTTAAGATTTTTGAGCATTGATAACGAGTGTGGTGTGAAATTGGTAACATGTGAGTTACATTAGACAATAGTTTATGAGTGTTTGTTTTGAAATGTTTGTATATATAAAATGAAAAGGGTTAGAGATAAGAGTGTGTGTTATGGTTAGATGTATTTGGCAGAGGTTTGAGCATGCATGAATGTGAGAAAATGAAAGAAAGGGAAGAGAA